GGAAAAGCCGGACATGTCCGGGAAAAGCCGGACATGTCCGGGAAAAATACTGGCCGGGCACTTCCTCTCCCACGGCTGCTTTGCTCCTCCCCTGACTCTTCGGCTCTGTTTAAGAACCGAGCTGCCCGAGCGCTCCGGCTTTGGCAGCCCCCTTGCCTCCGGACCCCAGCCGCCGGAACAGAGCAGCTGGAGCCTGGGAAGGGAAGTGCCCAGCCGGCAGCTTGGGGTCCGGAGGCAAGGGGGGCTGCCCGAAGCCGGTAGCGCTGGCTCGGGCAGCTTGGCTCTTAAACAGAGCCGAAGTCTGAGTCAGGGGAGGAGCAAAGCAGCCGTGGGAGAGGAAGTGCCCGGCCAGTATTTTTCCCGGACATGTTCGGCTTTTTGGCAATTCCCCCCGGACGGGGGTTTGATTGCCGAAAAGCTGGACATGTCCGGGAAAAGCCGGACATGTCCGGGAAAAGCCGGACGTATGGTAACCCTAACCACTAAGGCAGTGCAGCCCAGCCAGCGCCCTCTGGGGAACGTCCTCAAGTGCACCTAGTGCCGCAAGAGTCTCACCTGTCTCCAGGAGGGATGCTGGCATGGGGGTGGGACCTGCAATTAGTGCCCGATTCACTGCTGGAAACGGGACTCAGGACAGTACAGACATGGGCACAGCAAGGGGGAGTCTGGCATCCTCGGTGGGAAGTGTGCAGTGTTTAATTCCACAGGTAGGTCCGGACTCCCCTCGGCCTGCTGTGCCGAGCTGCTGAGCTCCCTCCCCAGGCCACGTGGCCGAACCATGGCTGGAGGCCCCCTCGCTTGACATCTTGGGCTTAGGGTCACCGAGTGAGGCAGCGTCAGAGCCGGGCACAGGGGTTCCTGGCTCCCGGCTCTGTGCTCCGCCCACTGGACCTGCCTGCCTCCATCAACACGCCCCAAGCGTCACAGGCTACGGCCCCTCTCCTCCGGGCAGGTCTCCCATCCACAGACCCTGCTCCCTATAGTGGCGCTCTCCTACCTCCCACGGGACCTTCTCATCCGGCACCGGGAAACGGACTGTGGAGGAGCTGGGATAGAGGAGGTTGCGGGCGCTCACATGGTACAGAGCCGTCGTCTCCTCTGGCTTCTCCTCCGAGCCGTACTCCTTCAGCTCTGGGGCTTTGCTGGGGACTGGGAGATAAACACAAAGAGCCGAGACCCCCATGGAGCAGAGGAATGTGAGCTCTGAGAAGAGTTGGGGTGAAAGCAATGGGGATCGTGCCGCCTGCTGCCAGGGTTAGCTGGGTTTCCCCATGAGAACGGCTTTGCTACACCACTCTCTCGGCCTGACCCAGACTCTCTGGGCCTGGGAACACTGGAAGGTCTCCTGCTGGGGCCAGTAGGCTTCAAGCCCTGTGCCCCTGGCCACCCCCTCAGTGGCGGGCATTGTCTGCACAGGACACTGGCTGCTGAAGATTTCGGCCTAGAACTTGCAATTTGTTGCATTGCCCCCTAGAAGTGGGTCTGCCTCTCCTCCCTTCTCCAGTGCAGTCACACATACACCCCGCCCCCTCCCCATCCCGCAGCCCTGCTCCCCCTGCACAAACCCCGAGGGCCCGGAGAAGGAATCCAGCATGGGAGGGAGCTGTGGGGCAAGTGGAGGTGGGGAGCTGCTGGGGAAGGGGTGGGAAGGATGATCTCCAATACAGTGGGGCTGGAGGCGGGGAGGGGAATTAGTAGGAGTCTGCTGCACTGTGTAGCTCCCAGCCGCCACAGCACAGCCCACACAGGGTATGCAGAAGCTGGCAGCGAACCTCCCAGCCTGGGCACAATGCCCCCTGCCTGCCCTGGGAACAGGAGCAGGCCCTTTAAGAACAACCCCTCCTCCCTTCCCCCAGCTCAGGGCATCCAGGACTCTCTGTGCTCCTTCTGCAATGGGGCAGGGCCTGCCACCCAGCTCACCCAGGAGCCTCTTGCCCCATCCTGCTCTCAGCCATGGCGGCTGCACTGGCGCCAATCAGGCCTGTGCTGGAGCCAGTGGAGTGACGCTGGTGGGAACCCTGGAGAAGTGAGAGGAGAAACGGGTCCTGGAAGACAAAGGCTAGTTTTTCCTCTCACACAATGGCAGCCAGAGACTGGCTGGACTTACCCATGGTGGGCACGTCCTCCTCTGAACCAAATCCATTCCCACGCAGGGCCCGCACAATCCAGGCCAGGGTCTTGGCAGTCTGGGACATCTATCCAGAGCAGAGCAGACCGTCAGGGAAAGCCACCTCCCAGCATCTCCTGCCCAGGGCCCAGCTTGGACATGGGGGGTCCATGAATGCCCCGTTTCCAGGCTCAGGGATGTGTTTGGATTTCGGTTTAGTTCAATTGTACCATGATTGTGAGAGCCAGAAGGGACATGGCCCGGCTTTGTCAGGACAGTGGTTGGAGCTCCTCCCTCCCCCAAGGAGACGGTCTCAGGGAGCGTAACCCTCCATGTAATTCCTCTGACCTTGGGACTGAAATCAGTGCCCAGTTCTGCTGGGCTTCCTCTGCTGAAAGGGATCTAATGGAAGAGGAGCTGAGGCTCAGGGGTGGGATGAGACTATATCGTCCCCCAATAGCGCAAGTCTTCCCAGAGTAGTTGGATGAGACGTTTTGCCTGCTCGATTCTCAACGCGACCCACTCTCCGGGCTCTGACCCACTCCCTGGGCCCCCCCATGACCCCCTGATCCTGAACATGGCCAGCTGCCCAGGCCCTAGTCCAGTCCCCACTCCCAATCCTGAGTTCCCCGATACAGCCCCCCAATCCCAAATGCCACCCACTCCACGCAAGCCCATCTGTGACAACATCTGTCCTCTCAATGCGCCTCGAGCTCTGTCTCACCTGCTCTTCCAGACCAGTCAGCCTCTGCTCCACCAGACCGGTCCTCTTCACCCGATCCAAATCCAGCAATTCCACCAATACGTCCACCCTGCGAGTGGGCGAGAGGAGACAGGAGCCTTGGGGGACGAGACGCCGAGCAGGTGTCCTGCGCAGCGGCATACAGCCAGTGAGGTGCTGCTCCGGGGTCAGGGCAGCCTGCCTGCCTTCACGCAGCGCTGCCCACAGACACCCTGTCCCTCGCGCCGCCTGCCAGCTCAAAGTGCCGAATTCCTGCCTTTGCCTTCCCAGCACCCCCCACTGTTCATCATCCCTGGTGGGTGCTGCTGAGGAAGAGGCAGGGTGGAGTTGCCCTGGGGCACATCTGCAGAGGATTGTGCCTCAGTGTCCCCTGCTCCCTGGAGCACAGCTGAGTGTGCACGTGGCACATCCCCTGGCACAGCAGTACGTCCTATCTCAGAGAGGCCCACTCCGCAGCAGCCGTGCTGGGGGACTGCTCCTCCGTGCCCCTGTCTGCACACAGTGGTGCAGGGTGCATGGAGGTGGGGCCAGCTCCTTGCCCTCTCTGCGCTGGCAGCAGGGCCAGTCTGGCCCGTACTGAGAGGTGCAGCACATGCGGATCACATGCACTAGCCGTGCAGAACTCCTGCTCAGGAGCTCGCTCGCTCGCTGCTGCATCTGGCTAGTGCTGTAGCCTTTGGTTTGCCCCCGAGTCCCATTTCTGCAGATCACATAGACAGCGGAGGCCACAGTGCAAGCAGCGGGATGCTGCAAGTTCACCCAAGGTGCGATGTGGGATGGGCGAGGGCTGGCACACACCTACCTGCCTTCTGCTTAGCTCTGCCCAATGCTACCAGGCATCTTTCGTGTGCACTAAATCCCTCACAAGCCGCACTGCGTGTCTCACCCACACGCAACAACCCTCTATCTCCCCTGCCAGACAGCAAGCTTAGCACAGCCCTATAGCTCTGCAGAGAGTGGGCGACATCCTGCTCTCACTGACACCTGTGCCAGCCCAGGAGTGTTTGGGAGCCATTGTGCCAAGAGTAACTGCTAGAGTGTGAACAGGGCTCTTCACGGAGCCTCAGGTCCAAGCTGCTCCTTCACACCCCTAACGTATCCTCTGGATGTGCAAGAGCTCCAAATCACTCCCACACGTACACCCTATATCTCCGCTGGCTGCTGGACAGGGGCTTCCGTTGGCCTCGCCAGGCCTCTGGCGGCCAGGGCCAGAGAACTAACAGCGATTCTTTCCTTGTCTCCAGGGCACCTGAGCCCTAATAATCCGACTGCTCTCCTCCACTGACCTATCCCTCTGCTCCGGACTTCACTCCGAGCCCATTGAGTCGACAGGAGGAGTCACTCCAGAGGGATGCTCGCTTTCTCAAACCACTGAGTGCACTGCCCCTGCAGCATCCCCAGCCAGGGACCAGGGAGAGAAGCCAAGTGCATTGCAACGCACCCTTGGCAAGGCTCAATGGCCAGTCCAGTGGCAGGTACACCAAGTGCTTGGCTTACCTTGGGTTGAGTTTTCACTATGAGCCCCAAAGCTACTAGTCATCGATCCCTTGGTCTAGTGCTTGGAGCACTGCAGAGCCACACACGCAGCCCCCAGGGAAAAGAGAAACGTGTCTCACTGTGGTGGCCCCACAACTGAGGAGACAGGTTCTGGAGGGAGCCCCAGCAGCCTGTTAGCACGCTGGGGGCGATGGGAATGGGAGCAAAACAGCTGGGTTATAAGCAAAGAGGCTGCAAAAGGCAAACAAACATCACTGATGTATTGCTCCCAGCATGCGATGAGTCCCCCCACAGACTCTGTCACAGCTGAGCAGGATGCACTGGATGGGAATGTCCCAGGGCTATCACAGCTCTAGGAACTGGGGGCAGGGTGTGATGGGTTGGTAATACTCTGTGTCGACCTGGTTATTGGCATGTTACTGTGCAAACTGCTTGAGTTTAGTTTAATGGGGGCTGTCAGGAGAAACAAGCAGAAAAGGATAAGCCACTTCTCCACAAACACTTGAGGGCTGTTAAGGGATAACGCCAGGATGGGGAAGGCCCAGGAACACTGGAGCGCCGAAGAACTATAGTGGGGTTTAAAAGGGGGGCCTCTCTCTCAAGAAAAGGGAGTAGCTGTTTGGGGGAGCCCGACTGAGACGGCCCCTGCTGGGGAGTGTGAAGAAGCCAGGCCTACCTGGGTTCCCATCAGGGGATGCCAGGGCTTGAAGTACGCGAGATATGCATGTAGACTTGGTTGTTTTAAAAGCCTTTTTTCTCACTGGCTTCAGAGGGACTAGGAAGGGGACCCTGGGGACAGCTGCCCAAAGCCCCCCCACTCAGAGCTCCCTTCGTGACATCAGAGAGCACTGACACCCACAGGTCTTTCCCAAGGGAACACGGGGCGAGAGGGGCCAGTACCTCTGCGCGACATCTCGGATCTTTTGCTCCATGTTCTGCTTCTCCCGGCACTGCTGGTGCTGCAGGTAGTTCTCCTTCAGGTACGTCTCCCAGGAGAGAAGGGCCGCTTCCTCATTCTTCTCCAGCTTTTCTTCTGCAGAAGAAACCGAAGAGCTGAGCACCGGAGGAGAACCCCCAGCTCCCTCAGACCCAGGCCCTACTCCATGCAACTCACACCCAAGTGGCACTATGTCTCCTCCAGATCCCAGTCTGGCCTGGAGAACATCATCGTCTCCCCATAGCCCTTCGAGCCACGGCCAATGCAATGCTGCAAACCGCTATGGCCCGCGATGCACTGTTGCCCTAGCCCAGCCTAGCGGAGGCAAGGCCCCACTGCGTCCGGCCTGGCCTGGGAAGGAACTCCTTACTGAGCTGTTTGTGCCGCTTCGCCGGCTGCCGGAGCAGGACCCTCTTGACAAAGAGCTGCAAGTGGTTGAAGAGGATGAAGGGCGGGGGAGCAGCAGGCCGGCCGTGATACTCCTCAATCAGGTCGTGCCGCTGGAACTTCCAGATCTGGTCGGTGTGCTCCTGCACCTGCTGAAACGTGTAGCTGGGAGGAGGGCCCAGGGGGCAAGGGATTAGCTATGGTCATGCCAGCAGATGCCAGGCAGGGGGTCTGCAAGCCAGCTCTGGGCACCATCCCAGGCACTGCATTCTGCCCTTCTCGCTGGCTTCCAGCCTTGATTTTCCTTTCATTCCTGGCCTCTCTTCCTGCTGCCCTGAAGGGCTCAGGGGTTGGCCCTGGCACAGAGGGGTGGATGGGCTCCCAAAGGAGGTGCAGGTGGACCCTTTCTTGAGGGCCTGACAATGCGTCTGCACCACAGCACCCAACTAGCTCACCAGGTTCCTCAGGCTTTTGGCTGGTATCTCAGGCTTGCATCTAGAGCAGGTCACCTGACATCTGAGCCAGTGTGCCCAGGAACTAGCCTGCATGCCGGCCAGTGCAGCTGGGACCCCGCATCCACCCCTCAAGCTGGTCAGGGCACCCAGGACCCCCAATTCACACACCCCCAGGCAGCTCAGGGCACCTGGGACTCCCCAATCCATCTTCCCAGGCAAAAAACCTAGAGCTGGCTCTGTTCCTACCATGCAAGCTGTAGCATGAGGTTTCAGTTCTACACTCCTTCCCCCTCCCTTTCCTGTTAATTGCGGCCGAGGGAATGCTGGGAAATGTCCATCCACTCCCCAGACAGGTCAGGGCAGCTGGGGCCCCCAATCCACCCCCCTCCACATAGACAAGTGCACCTGGGGGCCACAGTCCATCTCCCCACACACAGGTCAATGCACCCAAGGTCCCCAATTCAACCCCCCCGACACATAGACAAGTACATCCGGGGGCCCCAGTCCACCTCCTTACACACACAGGTCAGTGCACCTGGGGCCCCCACAACCTATCCCCCTACACGTCAGTGCGTCTGGGGCCCCCCAATCTGTCCCTCATGCAGGTCAGTGCACCCAAGGCCCACACATAGAAGTCAGTGAGCCTGGGGCCCCTAAATCCCTCCATACACATGCAGGTCAGGGCACCTGCTCCCCTCAGGTACAGGATAGTGGGATGGATCAGCTAAGCAAGACACTACAACTCCCCGCAGCCCCTCCCCACTGCTCGTCCCTGCCCTGGGCCAGGCAGGAGGAGGGGCTTCCTGTGCTCAGGAAGCAGTGGCTGCATGGCAAGCCAGGAGCTGCAGAGAGGAATCCCCAGGAGCCGTGCACAGAGCCCTGTGGAACAGGCTGTGACAGCCAGGCTCAGGTCCGTGCGGGGCTTATCGGGGAGCAGCAGCAGCTGGGCACAGAGCAGTGCAGATAGGCCCCAATGAGAGACACTAACCGAGCCTGGCCTGGAAACTCGCAATGCTTATTTGTTTGGATAGAGTCAGGCCCGGAGAGGAAACCCCAGGCTTCAGGCCCGAAGAGCTGGACTCTCAGCTGGAGTGTCCCAGGACCACACAGGAGCCACTGTGGCTCATGCTGAACTGAGTTGAAGCCTCTGTCTCTGGGGTGCAACCTTCCCTTTTCCTGCCAGCCCTAGGAAAGGCCTTGCCCTGAACCCTGTGTCTGAGCGGTTCCTGGGACCCACCCAAGCTAGTGCCTGCAACACCTCGCTGCTGAAGCCCCTACACTGCCTGCCCCCGAGCAGCGGTATGCCTGGCACGCTGTTGCCCCTCCCCCCCAGTTTGGTGTGCTCCAGCACTGAGCACCTCCCCCTCCCCCCCTATAATAGCATTAATTCACCCTCGCTTCGCCCAATGGCCCCCCACAGGTGCAGTGAGCAGGGGGTGGCGGCGCTGGGTCTGACTCACTTGAACATGGCGATGAGTAGGTTGAGGAGGAGGATGTTTGTGAAGAGCAGATACAGGCAGAGCAAGATGACTGTCAGCCATTCGGGGAAGACGGGCCGCTTGTCCTTATTGCTCTCAGGGCACTTGGGCTTGTAGGGGTCTGTTCCATTCGGGCTGCACTGATCCAGATTGAAGTTTACTCCTGCGAGAGAAGAGACCAGAGTTTCACAATGGCAGGCTCTGTCATTGCCCCGGCTGTGTTTTACATGCTGCTGATCTGGGTGGCTCTGCATGGACCCAGCAGCCCACCTTAAACAGACCGGCTTAACAGCAGCCCTCTTCAGTCTGCAACACTACTTTGTTCCTGCTCTTCCCGGGCAGGGAGTTCTGTGGGGTCCTCAGACTTAGTCCCTGCATGGCGCATCTGCCCCCAGCTGCCTCTAGGACAATGGAGCAATAGACGCTTGTAACTGACTGGTCGTTTCTTAGCAACTACTCACAGGTAGGAAAGTGGCTGGAGCTTTTTTCTCTGCTCCACTCCCGAGGCTGCCGGGTGCAGTCACTAATCAGTGATGAGTTACCCTCTAGACTCAGAATTCAGGCCTCTCTCAGAATGGTGAGTCATTCACGCAGCATTCCCAATTCCGGAGACTGTCCTTTGTATTTGCATGTAAGATTGGAGTCGTAGTTCCCATCCTCAGAATAGCTCCCACTGCTTTATTCTAGCTGTCATTTACAGCATGCTATTGGCCACATGGTGTTGTTTCTGCTGCCTGATTGGGTCAGGGTAACTCTTTAAGAGGGGAGAAATGACTAATAGCAAACCTGGCACTTCCCTTGCAAATGTGCAACCCCTTCAGGAGTCTGAATATTTCCATGGAAACCAGTGATGGTCATGTGACTATGCATGACTAATGAACGGCACCACCCCACCTACGCCAGCAGAGCAGTGGGGTTGAGCCACTATTTGGGATGCATTTGTGAAGGAAGTGGAGAATGCTGGGAGAGAAACAGTCAGGCAAGGGTCCCTGCTGCTCTTGGTCCTGATCCTTAAAGGTGCTGAGCAGCCTCAATGCTCTGACAGCAACAGAAGCTGAGGGAGCTCAGCACCTCACAGGATCAGGTTCTCTGGGTCACGTTAGTTTTAGTTCTCCTGTCTCTGGTGACACCTCATGTGCCCTCTTTGACACAAGCACTGAGCCCAAGTCTCCACTCCATGACACCAGTTTGATGGGTGTAATACTCCATTGGCTTCAGTGGGCCTAGACCAATTGACACCAGCTTGCGATCTGGCCCACTGACTTCGAGGGAGTTGCCTCTGCATCAAGCAGGTGTCCTGGAAGGGATGTGCTGGCCCGTTGTGTTTTATTCCTACGCCTTCCTCAAAGTGGCATGAAAGCAGGGAAGGGGCTCACATCCTTCTGTGATGCTGGTCTGAGCCAGGGTGTGCATGGTAAAGGACACGGCAAACCAGCTCTGGGCACAGCCCCAGATTCACTCCTCTCTGCCCTTCTCGCTCTCTTTGGCTTTCATGTTTTATTTCAATTTCATTCTTTCACTCTGAGCCTCATTTCCTGCTGGTCTGTGTCAAAATCTGGGAGCCAAGCTGCTACTGGACTCCTGCTGGGAAGGGGCTGAGCTGTGTGGAGCCCCTGCACGCTGGCAGGACTAGACTGGCTGTTTTAGCAATAGGAGAACAGCAGAGGGGTGTCTGCACTGTAACAAAGACATTCAACTTTGGAAATCTCATGCCAAGCGCTGTCGTGGCCCAGCCAGGAGCCTGCGAGAAACCCTGGGTTCCGTACCGTCGATGTAGGAAGGGATCTGCCCAAAAATCGTCAGGTAGGAATGGTAGACGACGCCCCGGAAGATCCAGTCCACACGCTCCTCGTTATGGATCAGGATAGCTTGCTTGGCTACGCCGAAGGACACAACCCAGACAGCCAAGAGGAAGAGGAAGAAGAAGACGTCCTTCATCTGCAAAGCCATGAGACAAAGCAGGAGTGAAAAGGTTCCCCTCAACAGATCAGACGCAGAGAATTACATCCTCTCCCAGAACAAATGCATGCACAGCTCCTATACCCGGATCACATTTCACATGCAGGCCCCACTCTGCTCCTACTGACATCATGCCATCTGCAGGGAGGAGTAGCTCTTACCATTCTCTTCACTATGATGATCTTGGGCCCCAGAGTTTTACTGACTGTGAAAATGTGCATCAGCCTCAAGCAGAAAATAATAAAAGCCAGAGACAATATGATCCGTCCTGGATATAAAGTGGATGGGATCCATCTGACACAGACAGGGGAAAGGAAGACACATCAGTGCATTGTCGTAACCAATGTTACTGCCTTTTTAAAACAGAAAAATTCACAGCCTACTTTCCTGGGGAACAAATAAATCTATCCCTAGAGTCCCATTTGAGCGAGGGATAAGCACAAAACCTATCCGATGGAGTGACACAGCAGCTGGGGACAGCGCAGAGCTGGGCAGAATGATCCACGTTTTGATGAAAAGTTTCATCTGAATTTTGAATGTAGATGTTACATTGAAAAAATTCCAATCACCTCTATTGCAAATTCCCCTCCCTGGTTTTCCAGCAACTCCAGTAAAGAGCAGTTTGATATCGTCCTATAGAATCCCTCGTACTCACCGGCAGGTCAGCCCTGCTATAAAGATCAAGATGGCACAAACATCCAGTTTGTTCCAGAAATCACTGAAGTACAAGGAAGCCATTTTCAGTAACCCAAAGCCATCGGGGTCATAGAACAGCTGTTAGGAAAAGAAGTGGTTTTGGTATTTCAATAAACAGAACATATGCTGCTTCTATGCACTTGAGACAGTGATTGTTGCACTGGGTCCCCAACAGGAATCTGAGCTGGATTTGGAGGGGGTGGGAGGAAATGGGGGAGTGGGCTTCAATTGATAATGAATTTCCCTGCCATGGTGATTTTGGTACCAGGAAAATCCTCAACAATCCCTGAGACTTGGCCCTCTGGTGTTTTTCAGATGTCATTCCCCCCGGTGACCAATCTTCATTTAAAATACAGAGGCTCTTGGTGTTGGCAGCACTCAGCTGTTTTATGTCCCGGCCTAAACCTCTGAAGAAGGTAGCAGGTCCTGTTCTTAGATGTCCTGTAAAATATTTGCTAGTGCATTTGAGAGGCTGACCTAGAACTCTTCTTGTGCATAACGGAGTGAGGCTGGGAATCTGACCGTGGTTATTTCCAAAGGGACCGGTAGGATCCTTGCATACACCCCCACGGCTGATTCATTCTTACCATTTTCCTTTTGGCCAAACCCTGAGGTCATTTCTCAGTGATCTGAGTAACAAAAGGGCAATGAATCTCCAGTACCAGATCTTGGAGCACATTGGAGCTCTCCTAACCCACGTTCTAACATGGCCTGACTGCTTAGCTGTGAGAAGTGGGCCAGATTCTCAGGTGGTGCATAGATCTACTCAAGTCACATAGACCATCTCCCTAGAAGTCAGGGGCACTTGTGCTATCGACACCAGCTAAGGACCTGGCATTTTCTGTGATTCCATCTCAATGCGTTATGAATCCTTGCTGGTGACGATGGCTCTTTGTCGTCCTGCGGGGTTATAGAACAGATCTTGGGTTCACCAGATCTTGGGTTCACCTCAGCTCTGGGACAAACACACAAGGACAGCTCTTCCCACAGAAATAATCCCTGACTTCCCGTCTTCTCATCTATACTACAGTTATGGGATAGTTTCTGTGGGAAGTTGCAGATATTCCATCCACACGTGCTGAGAAGATCCCCTCCAGGCTCCTGACCAGGTCTCCTGGAACTACCCCAATATATCCATGCTTGGTTTTACAGGGGGCTCAAAGCATGGTGGCACAGGCTGCTGGGAGATACCCCATGGTCCATAAAGCTGCCAGTTCCTTATTTCAGCCTTAGTGCCTTCATTTAGGAAGGTCTCAGTATCTTGGGCACGTTTCCTCCTGCCCCTGACTCAGCCCAAAAGTATCCACAAGAGCAGTTGAAACAAAACCTTGGGAGGGGAAGGAGTTCTCATGCTTTCCCCTGCCCATTCAGCACCCATCCATCCCCCGTCAGAATTTACGAATGCCACCAACTTTCTCTGTGGGTACCGGGGTCTCCTGCACTATCCCTCCAGTTCAGACAGCCCAGCATATCAGTGACTCTCTCTATAATCGCTACAAATAGCCAAAGGATCCCTGCTAGTCCCTCACACTATGTCATGGATTTGGAAGGGTAAATTGGGCTCACAAGTGGAGGCAGACTATGAAACACCGGAGATACCAAAGTTTTCTCCCCCGACTTGGGTTAGGTCTCTGCCCTCAATCCTTTATAGTAGGCATGGGAGAAAATACTTGGTGCTAAAGAGCTCTTTAATATTGGGGGAAAGGCAGAACAAGAACCAATGGCTGGAAGCGGAAGCCAGATAGATTCATATTGGAACTAAGGCCCATGTTTTGAACAGAGAGGGTGATCCCATGCCATCTTCAGCCAGCTTACCTGGGTATGTGCTCCCAGCCAGCCAGCGCAGACCTGTGGCCACTGGTGATTGCTAGGGCTGCAGTGCCAACCCTGGGAACTCTCCCCAGCCCCTCAGGGATGGGCAGCTTTTCCTGGCCCAGGGCTGCTGTTACTCTCATCGGGGGGGCTAGGGGGCTATGCCCTCCCACTTTATACTGGCCCAAAGGGCGAGTGATGGGGGAGAGGGGGCAGAGAGGCACGAACAGGGGGTGGGGCGTGGGGGGGAAGAGGCAGCGCGGGAGCAGGATCTTGGGGCAAGGTGTGGTGGGAGGGCGGGGGAGAAGGGGCAGCGTAGGGGCAGGACCTCAGGGGGAAGGGGCGGTGCAGGAGGCAGGGCCATGGTTTGGGTGTTGGTGGCCCGGCCACTTTTAGGGAGCTTCTGATGCTCTTGCCTCTCATTATACGCTGCTTTAAGGCCCTTCATCTTTTCCCATTGCAGCTTGCTAGCCCAGGACATCTAAGCACAGGACCGTACTGCTGATACTTCTGCTCTGCCACCTTCTTTGGGGGTTTCGGCAGGGACATAAAACAGCCAAGTGCTGCCAATACCGAGCGCCTCTGTAACTTTAAATGAAGATTGATCGCCGGGGCAGAATGATGTCTGGAGAACACCAGAGGGCCAAGCGGGAACAAACTACCATGGGAAGTGGTGGATTTGCTGTATCGGATTGACTAAAGCACATCTTCCCGAAAGGCGTGCGGACACAAGTGACTGAGCTCGATACTGTCATGGCTGGGTGAAATTCTCTGGTGTATGATGTACAGCAGGCCAGACTACAGGGCCAGCCTTATGGGGGGGCCATCCGGGTGACCGCCCAGGGGCGCCATGGTCAAGAGGGCGCCGTGTGGCAGTGCAGAGGTGCGCGCTGCTGGTGTAGTGTCAGAAACTGCTCCTGGCTGGCAGGGGAGCATTGCTTGGGGGAGGTGCCCAGATGTCTTCCTGCTTCCTCCCATCGGAGGAACATGTGTGAGAGCAGTGACACACATACTTCTCGGCCCCCCCATGTTCCTCTGTGCCCCCCAGGGGGCTGCAAGTGGGAGAGTGAGGAGCAACGCCAGGGCTCCCTGCATCCAAGTCACTTTCCCCACCCAGGCTGTGCTGTGAGGCATCAGGAGCTGCTGCTCTCCTGCCCTCCCTTTACATAGCCCAGGCGGGGAAAGTGACCTGGATGCTGGGAGCCCTGACATCGCTCCCCCCGTCTCAGCCCCTGAGGGGTGCACAGAGGAGCAGCGTTCAAGGGGGGAGCGAGCAGCAATACCAGCCGCTCTGTGCATTCAGGTCAGTTTCCCCATGTGGGCACAGGGGTTAGGAGCGCAGGGGACTGGGGAGTCTGGAGAGCCTGTGGAGGCCAGGGGCAATGTGGGGGGCACCCATGGGAGCCAGAGGGGAGAGGGGGCACTGCGTCCACAGGGGCCAGAGGTGCCAAAATACAAGTTCACCCAGCGCGCCATTTTCCCTAAGGCCGGCCCTGCCAGACTAGATGGTCCGAAGGGCCTGTCTGGCGTGAACCCCGTGAGAATGGCATGTGAGAGTGTGAGAGTGAGTGTATGACTGACTGATGGGTGCGGCATCACCATTTGGCTGGCGTAGGTGATGGGATTGTTGTGGGAGCACATGCAGCAGTGCGAAAACAGGAACGGCTGCTGCCCTGCCGAGAGACCCTGGGGCAGGCAGCCCTCGCTGACTGGGAGAGATGCCTTGCAGAGCCTGGATTGCACCATCACCACCATCTCCCCTGCCCCCCACGCCTTTGTTGAGCCCATCCAGTACCTGGCGGGTCTCCTCGCACACCAGGGAGAAGAGCCAAAAATAGATGACATACTCCCGCCAGGACGGCGTCGGCTGGAAGTCGATCATCAGGATGTAGGCGAAGAGCCAGAGGAAGCTGAAGTAGGAGAGGATGTTCAGGTGGAAGATGACGACGGGGGCCGTGAAGAAGGCCCGGGTGCGTGTCAGGCAGCTCATGGGCTGCAGCCTCTTCTCCCTGCGTGGGGGAAGGAAGCAGGAAGGAACAGCTGACTCAGCTGTCAGAGGGGAGCTGGACGCAGCTGAGCGGGACGTGTGGGCTAATTGGGAGAGGCCTTGCTCTGAGCAGATATAGTGCAGCTAGGGAACCCTGGGACTCTCCCCAGCCCCACGGGGATGGGCAGGTTTGCTTGGCCCAGGACTGCTGTTACTCTCATTATATTGTGCTTTAAGCCCCTCATCTATTCCCATCGCAGCTTGCTAGGCCAAGCAGTGCCCTGCCCAGGAAGATATTGGGGCAGCTGCTGCTAGGCCGGCATCTTGCGAAGGATAGAGCCCAGCTCTGACAGTGTCCTGGATGCCCCGAGGCTCGCCAGTGCCCACAGGCCTGCGCTGGCCGGCTGGGAGCACGTTCCCGGGTAAGCTGGCTGAAGCTAACGGCAGAACTGAAATGCTGCTGCTAGCTGGCACAAGAGCGTTCAATGAGCTCCATGGGCTGGGCCATTTCTCCCAGGGAGTGGAGAGAGTAGATCAGCCAGGCTGCCGGGGCATGAGCAGTGCAGTGTGGGATGGTAGTGGGCATGGGCGGCGGGTACTGCAGGCCATGGGAGGCTGAGCCTCCCCAAACAGCCAGGCATGGCCCTGTCCACGCTCCTCCCTGAGCCCCCCTCCTGTTTCCCACTCTTCCCCCTGGCCTGGGCTGGGGCTATGGTGGACTGGCCTGTGGCCCAGGACTCAGGGCAGCTGGGGCCGGTGCTTGGGCTACCTGGCGCTGAGCCAGCCCGCCCGGCACTCTGGGGCTGGGGGCACTGGGGCTGCCTGCGTGGCACTCCGAGGCTGTGGGTGCTGGGCCAGCTCGCCCGGCACTCTGGGCCTGGGGGCGCTCAGGCAGCCTTGAGCTGGGGCGGGAGGAGGGGGGGGCGGTGGCCGCGGTGGGGAGCTCTCACGGGGGAATGGTGTGGTGGAGGGGGGACCTCAGGCAGAAGGGGCAGGGCCAGGGCTAGCCTCCCTGAATGGGCAGTTCACGCACCGCCCATGGCAGTGGGAGAACTATTTACACCACTGGCCAGCTCGGGGACGCAGCAGTGGCACAGGGGAGAGGCAGAGGAGGGGGCAAAACTCTGCAGTCAGGGAATGCGAGTCCTACAGTCCGACTCCCAGCAGCGCACGACAGCTAGGGCCGGGCCCACATGCCAGCTCCATCCCAGGAGCCCTGGCGGTACCTGAAGGTGACGAAGCTGGTGTAGATGAGGGGGAAGAACACCACGCACAGGATCACCCTCCAGAGCCCATTGTCCACGCACAGCTTCCCCCACCAGACTTTTGTCAGAAAGGCCTGGGCGTGGGAGAGGAAGGAAGGAAATCAAGCTCACATGGACCCCAGAGCTGGCCCCCTTCACCTCTAGCTCCAGCATGGCTGATCCCAAACAGAAATGTTGCCGTGGCCCACCCCGTCCCCGGCCAGATCCATGCCCCTCACATGGAGGGCTCAGTGAGTAACCCAGGGCCTGCCCACAGCTGTGCCAGATGGAAGTTGGCAGAGATTGGCTTGCTGAGTAGTTCGCTAGTCTGGATGGTGCACAGGGACCCTGTGTGGCTGAGGATCAGCAAGTGGCCACCAAAGAGCAGAGGAAATGGACTGCGGGCAATGAAACAATGTGGGCAGCCAGTGAGTGCCGGGGCATTCAGGGCAATCCAACAGTGTGTGCGATCTCCTGTGAGGAAAGCATGGGTGTCCAGGGAGCCCGCATGCCATAGCATGTCCCCTCTCTCAGAGAGCAGGTTCATGGGCTCTGCCCTTCCCAGGCAGCATGGCACGGGATCTATGCAGGTAATGGGTGCAGGCACTCTCAGAGCACCTGGTGGAGCCCGAGCTACCAAACGTGCTCCCCTGGCTGAGCTCAGGCAGTGGGAGACAGTGCTGGGGGAGCCGACACAAGGCCCTGGCAGTGGGGCACCCTCCTTTGGGCCCTAGCATGGGGCAGGGAAGAGGTAGGTGCCTCCTCCCAGCCTGGAAACACACCTGAATGCCTCCGTGGGACACAAAATTCATGTTCTTGGCCTCCAGCGCCAGCTGTAAGCAGGTGGTTTTGCCCCAGGCCTCCGAGACGCGGATGAGGAGCTTCTGGGCTCTCTCCTCGTCCTTGCGGTAACACTCTGTGAACACACCTAGCAGGGCAGAGAGCAGAGCCAAACGTGGGCAATGGGCCGAAGAGAGGCTAGTGCCCAGCGTGGCTCTACGCTCCACTCAGAGAGCCCTGTGCCTTGGAGGAGACAGGCCATTCCTGGGGATGGGGCCAGAGGCAGCGCTGTTCAGCCCGGCCCCAGAATATTTTCCCGAGAGCTTCCTGTCCTTTGCAGGGCCCTGCTGGCCCAAGCTTCAGGGGCAGGCTTTGTGCACCTGCTAGGCTGGAGATCTGTCTCTGGAGTTAGTCTACTCTGTCATGGCATGTCCAGCTGTGCTCTGAACCAATTCCTGCCAACCTCTGAGCCCAGCACTCGTCACAGGCCTAGCCATTATGTTGCACTGTGGCTTCTGCTCCAGCCTCTCCTACCTGGTACCAGACACATTTCCTAGCCCCCAAGCAACAACTTTCCAAACAAATGGCCCGAGCCCAGATGTGTGTACCAAAGACCCTGGTCCAGGATCAGCACCCCCGGCATACCTAAGGCCAGCCAGCCAAGCATGGCTTTGTCTCACAGATGCCCAGGAGATAACTATCTACCTCTGTGTACCAACACTCCTAGCCTGGGGGTATCCGACACCAGTACACAGCACTGGAATAGCAAGGCCCACAGGATCCCCCCCTTGCCCTGCCTGGCAGCTGGACTGTGGAGCAACATTCGTCATCGGAAATCACCAGCCATTGTCCCCAGCCAGAGGGAGGGGAGGTGCCTGACGCCAGTCGGAACCAGGGAGGGACCAGGAACGGACTCAGGAAAGAGAGCAGTGGCTCCAGACAGAAGGAGGGGCTGATAGTGCGACGCTGTTGTTGCTGGTGAGCTGTTGGGAGTAGAGATTGACCCTGGGATCTCTGGAACTAGATACAGAGCACTGCACTGAGCGGGCACGGCCTATGGTAACAACGCTCACCGATGGCTCGGTGCTCATACTCCTCTGCCAGGGTCAGCATTTCCTCCATGCTGTCCGTGTCGTCCTCCTCCTTGGACAGCTCCTTCAGGATCTTGCTGCAGGCCAGAGCCCCCGCAATGCAGTCCTGGCTCTGAGACAGCAGGGGACAGATTAGCCAGAACAGGGACCTCCCATCCTGGGAAGCCAGCAGAGCCCCATTGTCTGCTGAAGGGAGAGGAGCGGGGCATCCCAGGCTGAGTGCCACAGAGAAAGGCCAGCATTACACAGCAAGGCTGGTAGTGACAGCAAATGGGGCTCCTGGCTAGGCAGGTAATTCCAGCCCCTGCCCAGGCTGCAGTGTTCCCCCGGACCGGGGCCAGGCGCTGCTGTGCCCTAGGGCTGCCCAGGTCTTTGGACCATTGCTGGGGAATGCTGCAGTGGTTTGTCGTTTAAAGGGATGCTCTTTCCTGCCCAGAGCTCCTACAGCCTCCATGCACTCCTCACCCTGTCTGTGGGCATCTCAGCACCTCCTCCCTTCCTGCCCAGGGAACTGGGAGCACCCTGAGCTGGCCCAGGACATGTCACCACCACCCACACCACCTGCTGGGAAGGGATCTCTCCCAAAGGCCTACGGCTCGCTGTTGCTGATGGCCTTGGCCAGTTCTACATGCAGCGGCTGCACTAGCAACACAACTCAGACTTGGAGAGGGGGGCTCTCTGTCCTCTTCTAGTGGCTACTCCTGGTAAGAGACTCATGCTCAGTACAGTTCTCAGGTAAGGACCTCCACTGCTGTGGGGTCTCGAGCTAAGCAATCATGTGGCTTGGCCTAGCTCAAGAGAGCCTGGGCACAGTGCCAAGCAGCAGGCGTGGCCACTTGCTGCCATTACTCCCTGCGCCTGCACTGGCGCTGGCCCCACTCGAGAGCACATATCCTAGCATGGTCCTAGCACCATAACTCACTGCACTGCTCTGTGCTCGCTTTCATAGGGCATTGTGGGACAACCTGGCTGTCCCTCCTGGGGATTGTGGGTGGAAAAGGTCTAGGCCCAGGACATTCATTTCCTGACCAGACCCGAGCTAATGAGCTGTAACCACGCAGCGCTGGAAGATGGGGTCCCCCTCGTCCTAACGGGGACTGAGAGCTGCTCTGTTTGATGGAGGCAGCGTGTTCCTGGCATACCTCTGCTGAAGCTGCAGATGATGGTGGGTTCAGAGACAGCCTTTTGCCCTTGCTCTTACAAGAAGGAGGCCTGAGCCCAGCTGATTCTGCCCTCCCCTACAGACCCCTCCCCTTCCGCACTAGGTCACAAGCACGGGGTGGTGATGACAATGTGGGATGAGTAGCAGTGGACCCCAAACTTGCACAGGAGGGAAGCAGCGTTGCCTGAGCTGGGAGTCCGTGGGCTCGTGGCAGACACAGACGATCAGCACTGAAGGACCTGGGTTCAACTCTATCATTGTTAACAGTGACCTCGGGGAGTTGTTGGGAAGGGTCCTCATACCTGGGCCCAGATGATTTCTGCCAGCTCCTTGCGACTCTGGACAATAGCCCAAATGAGGAGGTCCCTGACTGGGTCCATGGTGAAGGTGACCCGGCCGGCTGAGCGCTTGTAGAGGGAGCGGAGACTCACTCCCTGCACCTGAGGAGGACGGCAGAGTTAGACCAAGACTTTGCAAAGAACTGACGCTCGCTCGGGGGCACCCTGCTGGCACAGCAAACTGGAGCCCTGGGAAGGGGGCAGGAAGGCTGCAGGCCATGGAGAAAGGAGAGACCCAGTGACAGGGGACCAACGAACTGGTGTCAGTGCAGGGGCAGCTAGCTAACTTGCTCTCTCAGCTGGTGGCAGCTGCTCCATGCAGCTCTCAGCTCACAGCATGAGACTCTGCACTAACAAATGCAGAAGCAGGGGAGCGAGGCATCTGGGGAAACCACGTGAGGAAATCTGCTGGCAAGTTTCCTCCGCAGCTACCAGGATCTCCCCTCCCTGGCCCCATGGACTTGTCCTGTAAACACCTGGGTTTCCCCAGGGCATGGAGCCAGGAGCACCTGACTTAGGGAGTCTCCCCTGCCCTGCCCCTTGTTGGGACAGGGACAGCAGTGCTGTGTGGGTGGGACATGCTATTGCTGCCAAAGGGTGTGTCACAACTAACCCGCTGTGCAAGGAGGAAGGCCATGGGAATCAGGCCCCAGGAACGGGCCAGGCAATGATCTGCCTACAACGGCCACATTTGGCTTTCAGGTAATTTCCGTGGAGACTCAGAGGAACCCACCTGAGCTGAGGAGGGGTTGGAGTTTTACAGGAATTGAAACCTGTCTTTAGCTGGAGAGGAACAACCAAACAAATACAAGGGCTTGTCTAGAGCAGGATAGTTTACACCAGTGGAGCTACACCAATGTACCTATCCCAGGGCCAGCTCCTGCAGGCCACACATGGCCCCGGGTCCAGGTAGGTGTAGTTACACCATGCCAACCTGATAATGGATTGGAGAGCTGTGCCAGCATGAGCCTTCCTTCGCACCAGTGCGGCATTAGGAGTCAGCCCTGGTTGGAGGCACATTGCTACACTCCCACCAGTGCAGATCTCCCCAGAGCCTTCAGTTGGATGTCCCAAGGCTGGGGTTTCTCAGGTGCTGGCCAGTGCAGAGATTGCTCAGGTGCCTGGTTTGAAACCTGCCCGCAGTCCTGGCCTCGCCAGCTGGTGTCCTCTCCCAGCAGGACTACCCCCTCAGCTCCCCACCCCCTTAGCTCCCCACCCCTTCAGCTCCCCGCCCCGGCGCAGGGAGATCCATACGTTGAGCTTGATGTGCGGGACGGCGATGGAGAGCCGGTGCCGCTCGGCGTGCTTGGGCTTCGGGTACAGCGGCTGCGTGGAGTCGCCCAGTAGCTCCCTCAGCACCTGGGACACGTGGTGCAGTTGGATCCCCGGCACCTTGGAGAATGCCGAGCGCTCCTTCTCCTCCACCAGCACCTTCTGCAGCTTGCCGTGGAAGAGGCTGGAGGGCGCCATGTTCTCGTAGAGGTAGATCAGGGTGTCCCAGGTGACGAACTCCTTCAGGCGCACGCCCTGCTCCAGGAACAGCTTCACGAAGTCCGGCTTGTTGGCGATCAGGGCGGCGGCCATCACGGGGTGCAGATCTGCAGGCTGGCAGGCCAGAGACAGCGCTGTCATTGAGTGACACCGCCCTGCCGATTGGTCCCAGGGCAGGGCACTGAAGCAAGTAGCGGGCATGGGGCACCGCAGCAAGCCCGGGCAGGGGTCGCTGGATCAGAGGAAGTAGCCAGCAGGGGAGGCAGAGAGACAGGGGAGGGCATGGACAGGTTGACGCAAGCCATGCATAGCTCACGTCTCCACTGCCCGTAGTAAAGCAAAGTAGTTCTGCCCCCTTGGGCAGAGTTCCGCTCCTCCTCTGCCCCTGAGCCACTGGCCACCTGCCCCTCTCCTCTACTCTCAGAGGAGCTGTGGCTCAGGGGCTACTCTGCCCCACTCGGACAGCAGCTAGGCAGCGCGATCATCCTCTTCCCTGCCCAGAATCCAGTGGTGTGGGGCTGACCAGCTCCCTCCGGCCTTCCTGCCCTCCCCCCAGGAGATGAACACTTTGTTTCTGCCTGTCTCTCCTGACCTGGGGCCCTGCAGGATCAGCTGCCTGTGTGACCCAGCCTGGATCCCTTCTGTACTGGGGGAGCCGTTACAGCTGGCCAGATATTTCCCATCCTTGGGGCCAGATTCTTTCAGGCTTACTCACGCTAATACCCCTCCGACGTGCAAACCCGCCAAATTCAATGGGACTCCTCAGGTGAGTAAGTGCTGTGCCGTAGTGTGCACAGGGGTTGCAGGCTGTGGTGATTTTGGTAGGGCATGGAATCCTCTAGCTATAGGGGCTCTGCAGTGGCCATCCATCCCCGACAGGACATTAGACCTACGAGTGGCCGTACTTCCATGGTCAGAAGGGTTGGCACTCTGGAACTCTGCTTTCCTGGCTTTTGGTTCTTCAGTGGCTGAGATGGGAGCCCCTGTAATTCTCTGATACTTCTTGTCATGCAACTTCAGATGTTTCCATGGAGAAACTCATGCCACCTTCACGTTTTGTTTTCAGGTATGTGTGTGTGTGTGTGTGTGTCCTTTGTTTAACCATTGTTTGTCTCCAGACTACATGGAGTGGCATGTACACCTACAGCTGGTCAGGAATTTCTCAGTTTGATGGGTATCTCACCAGGAAATGCCAAAGCATCAAAATTGAATTTTTTTGCAGGAACGTATGGGTTTCGATGGAAGGTTCCTCACAGCTAGGATGGAATTTCTGGTCCAACCCAGAGAACCTGGTGAGTAGGGCATTCACCTGGGATGTAGGAGATCCAAATTTAAGTCCCTCTTCTGCCTTATTCATAGCAGGGACTTGAACCTGGGTCTCCAATATCCCATGTCTTAACTATTCTGGGTGCTTGGTTGCTCTCTGTCTCATGTTTTTTCATGAAAAATGTCGAAAGGTCTTGGGTTTGTTCCAATGTGGAATGAAAATAGATTTCAAAACCTCAACATTTTTGCAGAACAGAATTCTGAATTCCTGGCCAGCCCTCCTCCCATCTCTTGGGTCCCACTGGGCAGCTGAAGCCTTCTGACAAAATATTTGCCAACACGTCAACCTCTGTAAACTACTTCCAAGTTCCAGTGGAGTCAAGAAAAATTAAAGGGAAGACGCAATTTTGCCCACCTCTAGCTTCTGCGCAATAAGATTGCAAAACAGGTGTGTGAGAGTGGAGCTGGCTTGGCTTTTTTCCCCACCCTTCTCTCCACATGAATGTTGTGACATTGCTGAGTACATCAGCAGGAAAATGCACAGCTCAGAGAGCTGAGCCATGCATCCAGCAGGCTTGCGATGCACATAACTGAGTGCGCAACAGGACGCTGGCATCTGCGACAGATTTCTTGGCAGTGGAGTGGTAGATCATTTGGAAAAGACAGATATTCAGACTCTAGAATACATTCCCCGCCCAGTCAGCATTTAAAGGCCGGTCACATTTTTGGCCTGAGCAGCTTGCTATTAGATCTATGGATAGGGCCCTTCATTTTCTTTTTTTATTGTATTTAATTTTTCCTGGGAATTTATCAGTGTTTATTACTACACCAACAAAAACAGGTGAAAATCGGTGGAAAAAAACATTAATAATTTTTCTGGGTAAATATTGGGGTTTATTTTGGTGGATGGAAGGACAGGGGAGAAAAATATTCTGTAGATTAATGCTTTGATGAAAGGAATTCAATGTGGTTTGCTGCAGAACAAAAACAGAACACAATGCTACCTCTGAGTTTAAGGAAACAATATCTCTCTAATTAAGGCTATGGTTTTGTCATGGAGTTCGTGGAAGTCACGGAATCCGTGACTTCCAAAGACCTCCGTGACTTCAGAGGGACCCCCGCAGCACCCCGTCGCCACCGTGGGGCAGGGGGACCCCGGCTGCTCCCTGGCTGCCATGGCAGGGCAGGGGGATTCCCACAGCTCCCCACTGCTGGGGAGGGGGAAGGGGGACCCTGCAGCTTCTCTCCACCACTGGTGGCAGGGGGACCCCGGAGCTCTGAGCCCCCACTGGTGGTGGGGGGGCCCCAGAGCTCCCAGCCACCCCACAGCTGCCCAGACCCTTCCCATTTTATCATGGATATTTTTAGTAAAAATCAGGGACAAGTCACAGGCTTCTGCGAGTTTTTCTTTGTTGCCCATGACCTGTCCCTGACTTTTACTAAAAATTTCCATCACAAAATCTTAGCCTTATCTATAATCCCCAAATAAACTTTTCATTTGAATAAACAGTTTACTGTTGTAGACTTAGAACTATTAGCCTATAAATAGTTACATTTAATAATTGGGCCACACCATTTGCAGCTCATACACTCAACTTCATCCTTTTCTCCTGTTTTTGTTTTTTTAAACTTTTGAATCCTTCCCTGTGTTCTGAAACGTATTCTGATACAGATTTTCATTTTCTTCCCATTTTAGTGTGTCAGATCTTTAAACCGTTATCTGCTAACAGCTTGACATGTGTATGTGGTGGGCATGAGTCTCATCAGTATGTTCAGATGTGCGTGCGCACTTCAGAGCTTGTGTGCATGCCCATTTATTGTGTGTATCTTCTAGACTAACAGCCTTACTTCAACAGGCAGCTTTGCATATACACACAGAATAATGTATTCTCGTAATACAGCTATCTCATGCAATATACTGTATTTTCTTAATAAAACAAGTTACTTTTTATATATTTGAATGATACAAAAGTAGGGTGAAAACAGGAAAAAAACAAATAATACTTTTTGTAAAACCCGGGATTTTTTCTGTAAAAATTGATTTAAACTGAAAACGAAGGGGCTTATCTATGGAAAAACAGGGCATTACAAAGCACTGAATCCTGGGTTCCCCACGTGTAGTTCAGACTCACATCTACAAGGTTTGAACAGAGTAGCTGCTTCTGGCAACAGAGGGCCTTAAAGTGGACGGAAATTGACCCCTGAGAATGCTCCCTATGCAGGGGGTTCCTTGGCCAGCATACGAGGCCCTGTAGTAGCCCTGCTGCCGACCCCCAGCATAGGGGGCAGGTTGGAGGCACTCTGGAGGTGTGCTGGACCCAGGCTGGCACGCATTGCACTACGGCTAGTCTCTGCTTCTCAGGGCAATCAGGAGATAGGAAAAGCAGAGTACGTTTGAGCAAGCAGCCCTGCATCAGCGTCCTGACCAGCCTTGGCATGGCTCTGAAATAGGAGGGAGGCAAAGGTGGCATAAAGCCCCCCTTAGATCCCACCCTCCATCCCTGCCCCAAGCACCAGGGCAGAGACCTTGGGGGCTTTTTGCCTTCTGCAGCCTGGGGCATGAGTCACTTGCTGGTTTGAACTAGTGTAAATGGGGGGATTCTCTGTAACTTGAAGCCTTTAAATCAAGATCTGAGGACGTCAATAACTCAGCCAGAGGTTCTGGGCCTACTACAGGAGTGGGAGGGGGAGATCGTGTGGCCTGCAATGTGCAGGAGGTCCGACTAGGTGGCCATGATGATCCCTTCTGGCCTTAAAATCTAGGAGAATACCTGAAAATCAGACTCTCTGCTCCCCACCTGCTGCTGAAGGCCAGGCACAGCCAAGCGCGTCTCACCTTCCATTCATGGTCATCTGTGAAGATTTCGCTGCGAGCAATGTCCACCCTGTTCCAGGCCACTGCCAACTTCAGCTGGTGGTCCCAGTTCTCGTGGCCAAAGTGGTCGCGGTTTCGGGAGGCTGCAGCCAAAGGCACATACAACAGAGTGAACTCCGAGACTGGGCTGGGATGGCCACATCGTTCTTACCTCCCCCAGAAAAGCAACATCCAGAGCCGGGCCCCTTGATGGAGAACCAGCCAACTGAGCAGAGCAGCCTGCCCATAGCACACCCCAGTGAGCACAACAGGCCAAAGGCAAGAGAGGCCAATGAACCTTGGGTAACAGACACCAGAAGACATCCCATATTGGCCCTTCCTTTGCCATGGCTCCTGCGGTCCTGCCCTTTTGGTCTGTTGGGAGCCATTTGCCAGGCCGCTACATCTCTCTGACTGCCCCACACATCCTATGGGTGTGGGATTTCTTGATGGGAATCCAGCGCATGTGCAGAGGAGAAACAGCACAGTCACTTTGTTCTGAGAAGCAGGGACTGGTACAGAACTTTGGTCTTTGGCAATGTGCCAGGAGTTCTCTCCTTATCCCTGTCCTGAAGAGTTGCCAGCCTAAGAAACAGCAGAGACCAACTGGAAGAGCATTATGGGAACTGGCCTGAGAAGGAGCTGCTTGGGTCCCCACAGACACTGGAGCAGGATGTCCCCCACCAGTGAAGTAACCAATGACGATGAGCCGTAAGGGGAAGGGCAGGGACATGGGTGACTCTGCCCTCATGTGGGATACACAGGGGGGACTCTTCTGACCAGCAGAAGAGCATGAAAGAGTGTTGATTGTCTCATGAGAGATCAGTGGTTGTTTTAACAGCGATCCCTCCAAAAGCAGGGTCACACGTTCCCCTGGGCCTGAGTGAGCACAAGGCAGAGAGGAACGGATTAGTGTAACAAGAGCGAGGGCTGGATGATCTGTGCACGGCACTAGATAATGACTGGGCAAATGTCTTCCATTCAGACAGTGCCAAAGCATCTCAAAGCGCCTCACAGCCTTCCTCTGGTGAAATGATGAAACAGCGCCTCATATGGGGCGAGATGCAGCAGCACCCCACAGGGACTGATGATCTTTGGTCACGCTCAGTGAAATCACTTGGGAAATGAATTGACCACATCCCTGCTCCATCCTGTAGTAGGAAGAGAGCCTGAGACACAAGCCCTTGTATTAGAGGCCTGGTATGAGGCCTGGGCTAAAGTTGTGATCAAAACTTTGCTGTTAAAAAAAAGCAAAAATTAGACTGTGAGCTAGAGGCAGGCCCTGCTCACAGAATTTGGCAAGAGCAGGGCTGATATTGCAAAAACACACATTCCTAAAAGGTGCTAGGCACAGAGCATTCGCGCAAACACATTCCAGAAGGGTGGGACCAGAACATCCCGATATAAAGGATGGTACAAAAACATTCCCCAAAGATAATGGGAACACACTGACCCCTTTTAAACGATACGGTCAGGATGACAGTACATAACAGAGATGTTTTGATTGAAGCAATATGTAAAAGGTGATGGGTGATAACTAGCCACATTAGGGGGGCAGTAACTAACTATATTAGAGGAGCAATACGTAACTTGTTTGTATTAGGGTATAAAGATGTATTTTAGAGGGAGTGTTTTTGTTTAGCCCAGGAAGGAATGGAAAATCCTACTGTTCACTGAACTGGTCCAATGTTACAGGCATACTTGTATTAGTGGTCCAGTAGAGTTTCCGGGATACTAGTACTGTGCTTTGTTGACAATAAACTTGGCCTGATGCCTTCGTACCTTAATGGATTTTGTGGTCATTGGGTGGTTCGCTCGAGGTCTGCTGTGCCAACTTTCTGCGCAGAGCTGGGACTGCACACAGGGAGAACACACACGCAGCCAACATCTGTCCACACATCCCTTTCCTCTGCATATACCTCACTCTCCCCCACGCAGCCCACAGGGAGTGACAGCCAGTGCACTCAGCACCATGGCCACTAAGGAGCAGCTCAAGCACTGGTGAGCATATGGCCAACTCTGGTGTGAACTGGCAGCATTCTGACGCCTGGTGGCAGGCATGTGACCACCCGTCTCCAGAGCAGAGTCAGGTAATGCCTTCTCTGCCCCTCACCTTTGAGCAGTGCCTGAAGAATGGCCACGTCCACATCTTGCTGGCCATCTTTGCCCTCCCGGAAAATGGTCAGGAGCTGCCTGCTCCGCACTATGTCTTGGATCTGCAAGGAATGGCAGAGGATCAGATGTCCTGCAGCAGCAGCATCCCCTGCTGTGCCACCCAGCTCACGTGGGGTTAATGCTCTTCCTGAAGATTCTGGCGGGACCACCCAGTGCAGTTAATACCTTGCTCCTGCCTTGGCTTCTGTGGCCCCTTGTAGCCCATTTGACGTTAAATCCCCATCTGCCATGGACACTTGTTACCTCTCCCAGCCCATTGGAGGTTAATTCTATGACTTCCGTCCCAGCCAACAAACTGCAGGCTGAGTCCCTGTCCTTGGAATGCACAGACAGCCTGCTGCTTGCTAGAACACTGTGGGTTAAATTGTGGCCCCATTGGAGTTGATGGCAAAACTCCCGCTGGCTGCAGTGGGACCAGGATTTCACCCCGTGTGTTCTTGTCCCCAGCAACACTCCTGACCCCTCTAGACACACTCATCTTTCATCCTCTGGACAATTTGCACAGTGCACGTAGTCACTTTGCTCACACAGATGTCCACTTGCACACACAAACAATGGGGTTTTGCAGGTGCATCCAGAGTGAGTGGTGAGTATGGGACAGAGGCTCCCTCTCTCCCAACAGTGGGGTGCATAGCTAAGGTCTGGAATGCTTCCCCAGCATCATACATGGGGTCCCACTCCTCAGTGGCTGTGTGGTAACTGCAGATCCCAGGAGGGGTGACGCATTGCCCTCCCCATGTATCTGAGTGCTCTGGGGGATGTCAGCCAGCATAGCAGATGGGGTGTGAGCATCTCACCTTTTTGGTCCACTCCACGATCTTGCCCTCGGTGAAGAGCTCATAGGTGTCCTGGAAGAGGATGCTCAGTTTCTTCTGGATCAAGGAGATGGTTATCTCTGGAACAGGCCGATTGGCCACCTGCGCAATGACATCGGCCACACGCCCGGACCCCTCCACTATCACGCATGGGGTGCCATTGGTGATCGCATTGTAGATTGTCTGCAACACAGAGATGCGGGGCTAGAGGGGCTGACCCAAATCCACTTCAATCAATGGGAGCCTTTGCGTTAACTCCAGTGAGATTTGGATCAGGCCCGAGGCACCCATGCTTACACACAGTTCACCATTGGTGGCTTCTCTGCATCTCCCACCACTGATGGGCTTCAAGCACCCCCTGTGGTCCTCCTCCACTCAGGCTAAGGGAGGGCTCCCTAGCACATGGCTCTCTCAGCTTTTCTCTGCGCTGGGGATTTCCAGGGGGAGCCATCCCCACAGTGTTTGCTCCGTTGTTATTTAGAAGTCATTGGGTGAAGTCATGGCTTTAGCTTCCCCACACCCCGGCAGTTCTGACTTCCTGCCTGACTTGTCTGGGAGGAGGAAGCTGTGCTCTTCCCCTTCTCTCCCACGTACTTACATCGAGCGTCCCGGGTCCTCCCTCCAACACTACACAGACGATCGGGATCTTGATGGCGACTCCTGCAAGGAAGCAGGGACTCATGTCAGCTCCATTTGGACGCAGACCTCTCACAGATCAGCTGCCCTGCTAAGTCAGCCAGCATGGATCTCCCTCAAAGAGCTACAAGTAGAAGACAAGCCACGGGTATTTCCAACCCCTGCCAGCTTGCAGAGCAGCTCCCAGAGATCAGCTAGCAGGAAGCACTGGCCAGAAGGGCAGGAATGGTTTGCAGTCACTTCACCAGCAGAAATATTGCTTCGACTTATGCCACTGACCATGGGCGGCACGTGAACTGCTGGCTGGGGGAGGCTAGCCCCCAGCCCCGCCCCTTCTGCCTGAGGCCCTGCCCCCTCCAGCCCAGAGCTGACCCCCCCCCCCCCGCAACCACCGGCCCCCACCCCAGACTAGCGCCCCCAGTGCTGGGAGGGCGGGTGGCACAGCCCCAGCCTCCCCAGCCCCAGAGAACTGCATAGGGGGAGCCGCAGAGCAGGAAGCTGGAGGGGGGGGGTGGGCCTGGGGGCAGAGCATGGGCGGGGCCATGCCTGGCTGTTTGGGGAGGCACAGCCTCCCCCAGCCTATGATATTCTCCTCCCATGCCACTGGCAAAGCCTGTCAGGAAAAACGTTATCCACTAACGGAGCTCCTTCTCCAAAGCCTCTGCTCCCTGGACTTTCTGGCACCACACGCCAACGGTGAATGCACTGATGCTAACACGCGGCCCCCTCCTCGCCAGACGCCAGAGAGATCTAGGCGCTTGCCCATGCCCTGGTGCCAATGTCTGTCGGATCTCACGTCTTTCACTCCCTCCGCTCCAGGGCAGGGCTGACCTGTGCTGCCATTACCTCCTTTCACCTTAGTCTGCTCGGAAATGAACTTCTCCAGTCTGGTCCTCAGGGAAATCTCCACACCGTATCTGCCATGGGTCCCGTCATCCACCAGGATGAAGTGGGAGTGGTTGCTATCCAGGCAGGACAGGTTCCCCTGGCTCTCCTCATCCAGCACGTACTCAGCCGGGAAGCCACCCTGCAAATGGCCAGAGGAAAGAGAGACAGACCAACAGGGGGATTTCGCTGGGCCTTTCTCACTTGGACAGCTCCATTAGGAGAGCAGGCAGCTGTCCCCTGGCTGAACACCGGAGGAACAGCCCCAGGGAAGCAGACAAGAGCGCAGGTGGTGGCCGGCAGGTGTGGTGAAAAGAGCAGGAGTGCAAGGGGGAGTCCGCACATGGGGTGGGAGAGGAGAGACGGAGGACAGTACTGACTTGGGTCAATGAATGATGGACGAGATGGCCCAGTGTAGTGACAGAGGCAGAGCCAGAAAACAGAAGGGGGCAGGATTTGGATCAGGCCCGAGGCACCCATGCTTACACACAGTTCACCGTTGGTGGCTTCTCTGCATCTCCCACCACTGATGGGCTTCAAGCACCCCCTGTGGTCCTCCTCCACTCAGGGCAGCAATCTTTGACAAATAGCCATCCCGGCCCCTCTCAAGCTGTTTCTCACAGTGACTGTTACCTAATCCCCTCAGCTCAGCAGCTTGTGCAGCACTTCCTGCACCGCCTGGCTGTGTCCCCCTCTTTCCGGGCCCCTCCTGACGCTTTACGGAATCGAGAGGGGAGAATCTTTCACTCAGAAATACACACAGGAGGGATTTGAAATTGCTATCAGCTCAGTTAGCTCAGTGATTCGGAGATGGACACTGCACAGCATAGAGGCCAAGTGTCTCAAACAGGGGTGCCTGGAGTTAGGCTCCCAAGTCCCAAAATAAATTATCTGATTTTCCAAAGTGTCAAGTTCCCAACAGCTCCTAGTGAAATCAATGGGACTTGTGGATGCTCAGCCCTTCTGAAAGGGCTACTTATTTAGGCACCTAATATCTTCACACTGTCTCATTAGACACGAATCTGTCTGCCTTAGATATTCCTGAAGGGCCTATCACTGTAACTACATGGTGTCAAGTATCAGGGGGTAGCTGTGTTAGTCTGAATCTACAAAAACAACAAGGAGTCTGGTGGCACCTTAAAGACTAACAGATTTATTTCTTCAGATGCATCTGAAGAAGTGAGGTTTTTACCCACGAAAGCTTATGCCCAAATAAATCTGTTAAGTCTTTAAGGTGCCACCAGACTCCCTGTTGTTACTGTAACTACAGACTCTAGCTGGAGTTCTGCAGATATGGCAGGCATTCTCCACTGTATTTCCCTGAGACAAAAGCAAATGCGTCACAGATTTGGTTAAATTCTGAGAGGTTTGGGGGGATCTACATTATTTTAGAACCAATAGCAACCTAAAATGTGTTTGCAAGGGGGAGGACATATTTTCCTCACCCTTGTCATAATATGGCCTCTTCTGACTTTCTTGGCTGTCTATTTTTCTCTTATCACTGCTGAGATTGTGTGAAAATATCTAACATGAAATGGGCAAGGTCAGGAGTTCCATGTGCATGCTTGGTATTTTAAATACACGGTATTAACAAGCAATCATGAATTCCTTCTTGGAATTCCTTCTCCTTGTTCTTTTCTGATTCAAGGTTTTCAAGGAGGTTGGGGGAGAAGTGCTGGTCTCTAATCCTCTGAGGGTGTGAGAGATTCAGGGCATGTCTACAAACACAGTCCCCCACTCCAACCCTGCAGGCATCGGAGCAATCAAACATAGAGCCCCCACCCCCTGCAAAGGCTGGACTCTCACCATGGGGCAGATGAGGCTGCCACGGTTGTACACGGTCCCCCAGGTGGCTATGCCGATGGTGACAATTTCGCCCTCTTTGCAGCTGCTGCTCATGCTGAAGTCTCTCACAGCTTCTCCCACCTGCTTCATCACACCAGCGTGGGACCCACCTGTTATGATCCAGGCACCTGGCAGACAGAGCAGGGGTTGGCAAGGTGAATGCGCCACGCACAGTGGCTGATATCCTGGCCTATCAGAGACCTGCAGAAGTCCCCGTTCCACCCAGGTTTTGGAGATTCTAAGGCCTGTGGGGTGCCCATCCTGCATTCTGCCCCATAAGTACCTTGGGGTGTCAAAGCCCTCTGTGAACTGAGCCCACCTTCTTTGTCACACAGGTCTGGGACCTCTCTGGGCTTCCTGCCCCCCTGCCCTGCACTTTGTGCAGGCCCTAAGCGAGGAGAATGCCACTAGTGTGAGCGGACCGTGCTTTGTGCAGGGGCAGACAGATTGTCTTGTGGGTCAGGACTGGGATGCAGAAGATCTGGATTTGGTTCCCTGCTCTCCTGCAGACTTCCTCTCTGACCTTGTGGACCTGTGTGCCTCTATGACATGGGGATAATAACCCTTCTTCTTTCCACCATTGGGCTGTTCAGACTGTGAACTCTTCAAGGCAGGGGACTGTCTCTCACCATGTCCTTAATAGCCATGTCTTCACTGCCAAAAAGGTGTGTTTTACAGCGGGATAACTATCATACATTAACCACCTCTTTGTAAAATCCTAGTGGAGACAAGGCTTTGTAGCTTTTGCTGGAACTAGACAAAGTTAACCGCAGCTGTGGGGTATAGGGCAGACCTGTCTAGCTAGAAACTGCCTGTACCTTGTCTCCACTAGGATTTTGCAGCGAGAGAGCTAATTTGCATTAATTCTTTTGCTGTAAAAACATACCTGTTTTGGCAATGAAGACACAGTCTAAGTTTTAAAAGCATGAGGCTAACGTGTTAACAAACACCTTTTAAAAGTCTAGTCTGGGCAAGGCATGCTGCTTTTAACACATGGTAAAGGGCTCTGGTTATAGCTTAAAAGGCACACACTTGTCTGGAGACCTTTTAAAAAAAACAACCATCGACATTATTAACACATATGAACGTATGAAATCTCATCCTTCCAATTTTACAAATAGCCACATATATCACCTCCTGATGCCACCCTATTTAATCTGCAAAGAATCAAAAGGGTTTCGGGATCGTGACAACACCGATACTTGTTTAGAAAGTTTAGTTTATAGTCCGCAGCACAAGTCCACCAAAAGTTTTTCCAACCTCCAGACATTTCCCCCCTTCTTCTATTGCTTTTCCTTGGAGAGAAAGTGGAATTTTCTGTAGTATTTTTATTAAGCCTATTTGTGCCTCAGTTTCCCCTATAATTTGCACGGCTACCCAGATGAGGTGAGAGAAGGACTGTTTGCTCTTAGGGCAAGCTGGGAGACATAGGTATGAATGATGCCCAGCCGTCTGAGCCTGGATGGGTCATAAAAAAGGACTGGCCAAAGCCAACCCCATATCAATGGAGGAGCCAAGAAGACAATGGCAAAGCCAATCGCTAGGACATTGACAGCGACCCAGACAGAGATGGATTCCCCCCTTCCCCCTCTCAGCAGGGAAGCTGAGCACAATCCCCCAGTTTGAGAAAAAAGGACTGGGGAGATGTGTGGTGGGGATAAGTGCTGGCTGCTGGAAGGAGTCAGGGCTCTGAGCTGGGAAGCAACCATAGAGGTCAGACTGAGAGCCCGGACAGAGCCCAAACATGGGGGTTCTCTACCGCTTGGCTGGGCTCTGGGCTAACCAGCATGGTCTCTGTGCTAACCTTCACTTCTCTGTGCTAATCTAAGGACTTCCTATGCTGTGTCCAGTTGACTAATAACTCCGGCTGTTTTGACAGCGCTGTGGGAGTGTCACTGTGTATGCTGGGGTGCATTAATCCCTGAAGAGGGGACAAGTCTCTACCAAGAGTCTAGCTCAGTTGGACTCTCTGAGCAGCACTCATGGTGTGAAGTAGGAGTGCTGGAGCCCCAGAGGTTCAGTCATGGAGGCAGTGAGGCTTACCCTGGAGGAAGAGTGAGACCCTGTGGGAGTCTGGCACATTGAAGGGCACCTCCTGGAGACTATTCCAAACTGGGGGTGTCACACCAATCCTGTGGATCCATGACAATCAAACCAGCTGATCAATAGGGAATCATTTGCCCTGTGCCACGTCTGCTTATTCTCCTGTATTTGTCAGCTTTGGAAGGCTTGTTTGTGTTTGGTCAACCTCTTCCCATTGTCTGTCTAGTTATTCAAATGCCCATCGTGGCGACCATACGTTGTATAATCTGCTTGATCCCAACAGCTTTTTTAACTCTGCAATGATTTCTAGTACTTAGCCTGGCTTTTATAATGTGTTAGTTACCACGTGTCAGCTAATTTGCTCTAACATCACACTTTAAATCCTAGTCTAGACAAGGCCTGTGTGTGTGTACAGCATCTAGTAGAATGGGGCCGAGGGCTCCAGAATCTACCCTAATACAGACAATAACAACTGCACTAGGAGCAAGGCAGTGGGGAATCAGCCCCAGTGCCTAAGTGTCATGTGAGACCTGTCGAGTTCTCAAGGGCCAATGGGTCCGTCCGGATTGTCTTCTTTCTGTTTGTCCGAGATGGGCCTGAAACACAAAGTTTGGATCCTGATATGAACCTTTCCAAAGTCTGAGGAATCCTGGCATGAGGTCAGGATTCATTCCCATCTAGAGGTGGGTGAAATTTTTTGGCCAAAACTCTTTGTCGCCAAAAAAAGCACATTTGGGTTGACAGAAACATTTTAGGAATTCACCAAATTGTTTCCACTGAAAAAAAAACAAAACAAAAACTCTGGAAACATCCAATTGTTTTGTAGCAACATTTTCCAACCAGAACGTTTCCATTTTTTGATTCAAAACAAAAAGTCATTTAGAAATTCCTGCAGCTTCATTAATTTTTTTTTTTAAGTTCAAAATTGAAACATTTTGTTTTGGGTCAGACTCAACATTGCATCCAACTGAAAACAATTTTGTTTTTTACTACTTTTTGAGTCTCTGAAAATTTTGCTTTGGGTCAACCTGAAACTATTTTGAATTTTTTTTCCTGGAATTGCCAACAACCGGAAAAAAAAATCACTCGTTCTCCCAGCTCTACTCCCACCCCATTCAAATGTTCAGAATCCAGATTTTTTGCTCAGTATTTACTCTGGCTATCCCTTTCCCAGCACTAGCTCTTTGAAATAAGGACTGATGGATTGGCTCTTTTCGCTGTAGTTTATTGAAATGGCTGTATGGATAGCCTCTGCTGAAGCTTTTATTTGTCACTTCTTGCAGCAGAATCCCAACACAGATCCCGTGGTCTCTTGCAGCTGTCAACATTTGGGCTGGCCTTCCCCCACCACGTGGGAAAACATCAGGCTCACAGAGTATGAGCTACCCCAAGCAAGGACCATGCCTGGACCCCAACACACTGTTACTTCCCATAAGGACCCCTTGGGTAATATCAGTAAAGGCAGAATTTGGCTCAGGATATTTCTGTTCGTGATTCAGAGAAGGCTAAGACAGGGCCGGCTCTAACTTTTTGGCTGCCCCAAGCAAAAAAAAGAGTGCCGCCCTCCATAGCGCCGCCATAACACACACCCTCAGCACCGCAACAACACCCCCCCGCGGAGCGCCGCGCCGCTGAACCCCCCAGCCGAACCCCCCAGCCCCCACGGAACGCTGTGCCGCCGAACCCCCCAGCTCCCCGTGGAGCGCCGCCGAACGCAGTGCTGCCGAACCCCCCCGCTGAGCGCTGCCGAACCCCCCCAGTCCCCCGCAGAGTGCCGTGCCACTGAACCCCCCAGCCCCCCGCGGAGCACCGCGCCACCGA